TGTGTCAATGAATCACTAGTGAAGATCCCAAAATTCGGATCTTCAATAAGCAGAAACTATTAACCGTTAAAATGTGATGTTCACAACTTGTCTAGCCTATATTTCGGATGTCAACCGTCGTATGCCTCCCCTTCTGCTGACTCTAACATGTCACTTCTGCGTAAGCCGCCTCTTTCCCCTTCGCACGTTCGCATGCAATATGAAAAATCTGTTGGACTATGCTGAACAAGAGTCTATATTTAAAACAATATCTTCCAACAGCCGTTTCATTAAGCAAGCATCTGCAGAAAGCTGGCCTTGACCCCAATAGTAAAGTTACTTTTGCATGAGTGAATTGAAATCAACACTGCATCTCAACATTTTGCCTCTTTGCAGCATTCCTTTGAGGCATCTTCCGCGCGACGAATCAAATATACAAATCCTTCTCAATTGTTCATTTCCTGCTATCCTCTCCTGCTACGCCCCTCCTATTAATGCCACAACTACTAGAGTATATAAGCTTGATTACTAGACTAGTTTTATGCTAGAACGTTCCAACCTCTAGCTCACCTAACGATCCCAGGACAGGTCTTGTCACCAATCGTCCAGGGAATAGGATCATTTAATTGACTTGAAAGACAGTATCTAATATATAGGCGGATCAAGATATGCTGAATCCGATCCATTGGGCCTATAGTGTAATTTATTTCCAAATAATTTAGTCATATACGATTGTTTTCAGATTAAAAGCATTTATATCAATTGTATATTCGGTGTAGAGCATTTAAAGAATATTCGCACAACTTGTGCAGGGTTGAAAAATGGTGGCATTACTTGTAATTGCCAATGCCTCAAGCGTGGCCAGGTTGTAGGAATATCTGCGAAAGGCGCCAAACTGTCGACCCGTTTCTCCTCAACACCAGTAGGCTCACCAGGCTGTTTGGCATCTGTAGGAAATGGGGACCTAGTCGACCAAGTCATTATCGATGAGGCTACCTGTGGTTTCAGAAGTCGAGAGTGTGAGGCACAGGGAAATCGAGATTTAGAAGATAGGCGGATGGCGTAGTGCGTAGGTCGAAGAAGGACGCCAAGGTCCACTGCTACCCAGGCTGCCTCGGCCAGGCCCAGCTTGCTCAAGGTATCCAGACGGCGCGGCCTGCAGAAGAGGACGTCAGGGGAAATGCGATTCCTATCTGGAAGAAATAGCTTAATGGTGGAGGCCGCACTAAGTCTATAAGCATTCAAGCCGATGAAGCTTTCAGCAGACTTGCAGTACCCAGTGTGGCTTCCAAATATATCCATCTAATATAATAAGCTTATCGTAGCTATTCTATTTTATTCTATTCCATTTTATTCTATTCTATTCTAAACTAAGATATGCTAAGCTATTCTATTCTAAACTAAGATATGCTAAGCTATTCTATTCTAAACTAAGCTATTCTAAGCTATTCTATTTTATTCTATTCTATTCTATTCTATTTTATCCTATTCTAAA